AGAGAGAGAGAGACAGAGAGCATCAATGAATGAGTGGATCAGAATCCCAATGGTTCGGAATAGAAAAAGGCAAAACTGTACAAAAACAGTACCTGAGAAGCTTCTTCAGTCCTGCAATGGCGTCTTCGCACGAATCTTTTGCCATAGGATCGTTCTTTCTACAGAAAATTCATCCACAACCATATCAACAATCCGAAGTATTAGACAGGAGACAGTATATATAAATACATATATATATATATATGTTTGATCTCTAAGATGAATCCGAAGCAAGCAAAAAACTCAAACAAATTAGGCGTTAGAATTGACTAAATTTGGTGAAACAGATTGAACTTGAAGAAGAAAATGAAATGGAAAGATTTGATGTACATCGAAATCGGTGCGTAAAAGATGAACAGTGAATTAAAAAGAAGCGTGAATTTTCGTGGGAGAGAACAAAATCTGTACGAACCTTTTTAGCTTCCTCCGAGACTTTTATGGATTCTCTGAGTCTGAGCTTTCTTTCTGCTGTAGAAGTAGAAGATTATAGCGGAGAATAAACCAACCACCTGTTCTCTACTTTTACCGGCAGATCAGACAGGAGCTCATATTGCACGCTTTTATAGAAAGAAAATGGTTTAGACTAACCATGGTTTACACTGCCGTTTGGACAATTAACCCATGGGTTGCCTTTTTCGGCAATTATGATGAATAAATGGAAAATTTAATTAAATGTGGAATTTCATATTCAATACATCGGGATGGAGTAAGATTCATTTCAATATATTTTTTATTCAATTTCTTTCCTAACTAATCACCTATTATTTATTAATTTATTTATTTGTTAGAAAGTATTAAGGCTTGCACCAACTATTTTATTGAACTCAAATATTAGCCACCATAATCCGAGCCGATGTATAACATGTTTATTAAAAAATAAGGGTTGTTAAACTCTGATAACTCAGGAGTTTTACATTTAACACTTTTTATACCGCCTAATTCAACTGGGACACGATGTGTATAACGAGTCTCGCTCACTCATTAACGAAGGATGATTTGTTAAGAAAAAAATTAAAAAGAATAATATATAAAAAGAGATTTGGATCCCATCAAGATGGAAACATTTGGGGTGCGGGGGTTGACACAATTTTAAGAGTAATGTTACATGGACTAAAAAATTAAACTTAAT